ATCTATCTATCTATCTATCTATCTATCTATCTATCTATCTATCTATCATCTATCATCTATTTATATCTATCTATCATTCATGTCTATTTGTCTGTCTATCTATCTATCCATCCACCCATCATCCTCTTTTTCAAAGGAGGCAACCTTTATGGACTGGGAGTATAACTGGATTTCTGAGCCCATCTCAGAAAATGGCTGCCAAGAGAAACTTTTTATAAAATGACTGCCTTAGTGGGCATGGCTTGTTATGAAACACCCATTTTTCAGAAGGTGGGGGAGCTCCTCAGAATATTCTCTATCTCACTCCAATAAATCAAATATTTATTACAGTTATAGATCAACATGTATCCCACCCTAGGGAAGCCTAAACACATTCTTGAAGATATGTGTGACTGTGCAGCAGCATGCATCTTTCTATCTGATTTTCAAAATAAAAATATTTTAAAAGACCAAGAGAGTTATTGAAGCATCAAAAGTTTTTCTTGCAAAAAAAATGGTTGTGGTTATATATCTCTGGTTGGACCAGGAACATCTTAATTATTCTGGGAATTTTTTCAGTCCCTTCTTGACAAAGCACATAACTTTGAGACATCCAAAATCTTGACAAGTATTCCAGATTTATTCCAGCTCTTACCTTTTCTGCGTCTGTACATCCATCACCAAAGAAATGTATCCCTCAATGAGAGAAAATGAGAAAAAACGAATGTGTTCAGAATCTTCATTGCTTGCCACTAAATCTTTTACTCTGGAGTAAAGAAAGAGGCAAAGACAAGCATGGTTAGAGTCTATTCAAAAAAGTCTATTGGATATGGACTGAGGCTGTCAAATTACTGTTCCTAGTTATCATGGTTTGGAGATATATTATACTGGACTTTTTTCTTAGAGTCTGTAGAAAGTTGAGAGGAGTTTTTCTAAGCATCATTTCTCAAATTGTGAATCTGAGGCCGCCACTAGATTTCAGCATTGCCTAGAAGGGTCCTATTGGTTCCTAGATAGAAGTTGAGAGAAGACACTCTAGGGCAGGAGTGTCAAACTCGCAGTCGTCACGGCATGTCACGTGATGTATCACAACATTTTTCCCCTTTGCTAAACCGGCCGTGGCCAGCGCGTGATGTATCTGGCCTGTGGGCTGCGAGTTTGACAGCCCTGCTCTAGGCAAATGGCCTGAAGATGTGATATTTTCAATAATAAAAATACAGTGTTCTTTACTTGAATTTAAACTTAAAACATTGCCCTCACAAAATTAGACGAGGGCAATTTTTCAGTAATAATTATTTGGTGCTCCAGCTTTCTTTCTAGTAACAGCAGTTCAAGGATTTTTAACATTTTCAACTATATCCCGGAATTAAGAAGTCTGAGAACCTATTTTCTGGACCACATTCCCTTGGTATCTATGGAGATTCTCAATCATCCTGGTCATGGTTGTTTCTTGGGCTTTTTTCCTTTGAAAAAGTTTTGCTTCTCATCCAACAAGCTAACTGACTGGTGGGGAAATGGAAGTATTTAGCAGTCCCAAAAAGATTTCACACCTATTCATAATCTGATTCAGGTGACCCTGAGTATACAGGTAAACCCCCAAGTAACCTTAAAGAGATAACAGCCAGATGACCGCAAAGAATATAAAACCTTCCAGTCTCCACCAGTAACTTAGAATTGAAGAAGCTTTTTGGATGAGAAGTGAAACGTTTTCAAAGGAAAAAAAAGGAAGAAAGTCCAGTTGCCTTTTGGAAAAAAAGCACCTTTGGGACATGTTCCCTTAGAGAAAAAATGGAATAGGCCAAATAACTTCCTAGAATCTGTCAGAACTGCCATGCTGTTCCGGGTATGCTTCGCTATATGCCAGTGTCTGCCATGAGCAATGGAGGGAGGGAGGGAGCTGTGAGGCAGGTGAAGGGGAGGAGCATGTTTCTGGGGAATCAAAACTATGCATCGTGCCATCCCATGAGAACCACCGGCAGTTCCAAAATCACATCATGGAATGCAGCACCCATCTTTGCCCACCAACCCAACAAAACAATTTGTTGGAATGTAATTGGACAAGCACAGATAACTAAAGTGGGAGGGGGAGAAAAGGGAACAGTTAACCATATGCTTTGGGCGTGAAAACTCAGACCCGGTTTTGCTATGCTACAACCAATTTGCCTTAGTAAAGTATACTTATTGTAGCCATGGTCTTGAGAGTCTTTCTTTGCTAAGAGCTTTACTTGGGTAGCTGACCGACTCTCAGTAAGACTACATGATTAGCGTATTGCAGCCAGGGGTGGGATTCTACCAGTTCGCACCTGTTCGCTAGAACTGGTTGTTAACATTCTAAGCAGTTCTGAGAACTGGTTGTTAGAAGAAATTACTGGCCTAATCCTGTAAGGAAGGCAGGAAGGAAACATTCTGGTGTTGCTTACAGAAACTGCCTCTCCGTTAATCCTTATTACATTCTTGGCAGGACTAGACTTCCTGTCTCTGGAGTTTCTTTTCCCTCCTTTGCTGGTACTTTGCTTGTGTGGAGTGACCATTCAAAGTTACATTGGTACTGAAAAAAGTGACTTATGACCATTTTTCACACTTACGACTGTTGCAGCATTCCCACAGTCACAAGAGGCCAGGCGAGGAGATGCGTGCCTTGATGTGAGTGATGTTGAGTTGGCCACGCCCAGCCAATAACATGACCACCAAGCCACGCCCACCACCTAAGCCACGCCCACAGAACCGGTTGTTAAAAAGTTTGAATCCCACCCCTGATTGCAGCCTTATATGAAAAACAACCAAATGCTTCCTGAATGGGTTGGATAATAACACTTGCTGGCTGGGGATGACTGGAGTTGTAGTCCATCCAGAGGCACCAAGGCCAAGGAAGGCTGGTTTAGTTTGAGGACATATTTATTGAGGAAAGATCTAACTTCCCTCCACTACTATGAGAAATATTCTTAATGGGATTAAAATAAGCGAGTTTAGAAAAGAAAATACCCCAGTCTGAACATACCCATTGGAGTAAAACATGACATCCATAAGGAGTGTAGCAACAGAGGGAAGGGTATCAGGGTCCAGGCTGGTGACACAGAACATGTTACTCGGACTGGAAAGGGGGTGGATGACAGGCCTTTGAACTGGAAGAGAGGGAGAGAGAGACAGGAAGGTTGAAGGCTTCATAATGAAAAAATAAAACTGCAGTATGGATTCCACATTTCTAGCACCGCTAGAAATACAATAATGCAAATATTTTTTTACAGACAGAAAACTAACATGACAAGGAAAATTTTCTTGGAATGTTAGTTTTCTACACACAACGTAAGGGTATTCAACCATCCCCATGTCCTGAGTTGCAAGACTAATGGAAGACTGCATGCAATGGCAACTTGTTTGTAGTGCCAGAGGTTGCAATCCTATGTGCCAAATGAAAGCATCTTGAGGACTGATTATAAGTCAGATGTATGTACTATAGGTAGTCCTCGACTTACAACCATAACTGCTGTGGCTCTCCTTCTCTGTTTTCAGAGCGTAGGGGTTGAGAAACAAGCCTCTCCTTGAAAAACTCTGTACAGGCATAACAACCTTTTACCACCATTGCTACTGATAGTAGTAATGAAAAAGGCAGAAAGTGGAGGAACATTTTTAGTTGCAGAATTCACTATCCACCAATTTCTTCGACATGCCCCAACAACAAGAAAACAAATGACTCCCTTCCAAAATAGGAGCACTAATTCTGCGTCCCTTTGGAGGCAAGAGAAAGGAAGAATGCTAAGAAACTCTTTAAAAGGTACCAGAAAAATGGGGGGAAAAACATATTCCTCCAGGCTACACCTTTATTCCAGGTTGGAATGACACAGAGTGAATTTCCCAGAGGGAAGGAGTTGAAAAGGAAGGATTCTTAGGCACTTATCAATGCGTTTGAAATATATTGTCTCCAGGGCTGGGCTGCTGGGGGTTTGCAGGGGTTCGGGAGAGCCCCTAGCTAAGATTCTGTGCAATTCAGAGAATCCCCAAATCCCACTTCTGGCTTTCCCCGCCCACCTCTCCCCTCCCCTGAGTCCCCACGCATCCTGTTTTGGATGCAGGTAAGTGCAGGGCGTGCACAGAGGTTTGGGAAGGCCGGAAATGGGCCTGTTTCCGGCTTCCAGAGAGCCTCCAGGGCCCAGTCTCCGGAGTACAGGGAGGGCGACCCCCCCCCCACCATGGTGCAGGAGGCTGATTAGGCCACGCCCACCGTGGCCACACCCACTCAGCAACCAGGCAGAGAACCCTTTGCTAAAATTTTTGAAGCCCACCCCTGATTATCTTCCCTTAGGCAATCAGCTTTTATGAGTTGGATGAGAAAAGAAGAACTGGCCCAGACGTGGGACAGATGAAGAAGGCAAGGGAGTTCTTTACCCAGTTTTGGTTTCATAAATCCATTGGTTATCCCAAGGTTATCGGCAGCCACAGTCTCCCCATTCACGACTTTGAGGATGGTGAACTCAGAAGCCAGGGTGTGTGTGACAAAGGCCAGGTCCCTCTCGCGCACCTGAGGGGGGGAAAAAAATCTCCTTAGGGGAACGAACATCATGTCAACTTTCAGGAATTTAACTCTTCATCAATGGAATCAATTGACCTGGGATAGGAGCTGGGAGTTCTTGTAGATCACAAACATTTGCACTTTGTGTGTGAAAGCTACCACCAGACTGGGCTATAGAGGCCATGTTTATATTATAAGGTTATGCCCTGTTCCTATCTTTTTTTATCATGGATGGGTTGACATAAGAGGCTCAATTCTTAGCTCTGTTTTTTTTTTTAATACAGTTACTGCCTTCACACCATATGCTATGCCTGAATAATTACAAATATTGAACAATGCCTTTTCTTTGGGTCTCTTGAAATGTTTGACTGACCAGGTAAGATTTCTAAACTATTGATGAACTATTCTGAATTGAAGTAAGAATTCAGAATTCTGAACTTCACAAATGACAATTAAGTAGGCCTTTCTCTAAAGCACTTCACGTTCCTTATTCACAATTACTTAGCAGCCAAACCTGTCTTGTATTATTGGAAACTTCTTAAACCTGCTGTTCCAATTTTGCAATTGGTTAACAAATATTGGTTGTTAAGCAAGACGTTTGTTGAATATACATGATCATAGAATAGAACAGAATAGAATAGAATGAGCTAGAAGGGGTCTTGGAGGTTTTCTAGTCCAGTCCCTGCTAAAGCAGGGGAACCTATAGCATTTCAGGATAAGTGTTTGTCTAGTCTCTTCTTAAAAACATCCAATGATGGAGCGTCCACGATTTCTGAAGGCAAGCTGTTCCACTGGTTAATTATCCTCACTGTTAGAAAGCTTCTCTTTAATTCCAGGTTGTTTTTCTCTTTGATTAGTTTTCAGCCACTGTTTCTTGTCCAGGTTGGAAACTAATCAAAGGGAGAAGCAACCTGGAATCATAATGTGTCACAAACTACTGCAATACAAATGCTGATGGACATGATTGCTTCTTCTTACTTTTCTATTTCCAACCCCCCATTCTTAACCCAAAACAGATCTTTTATCTCCACCAAGTGGTTTATTTGATTTTTCTGCAAACAGTCCTCATTTAGGGACTGCTCTGTACAGGGCAGTAGCAATGAAAAAGTAACTTTGCACCCAATCCTTGTGTTTATGACTTTCACAAATCTCTAAAGCAAAGGAAAGCTGAAGTAAGATTATAAACACAATAATGATTTCACTTAGCAACCACTTCATTTAAATGACCAAGTTGTTAGTCCCAATTGTGGTTGAAAACGAGGACTGGTTGTACTCAAAAAGCACTCAGCATTCAATGCCTGAACACTTGGGTCCTTGCTCTGCATGGTTGATCATAAAAGTAATGTCATTTGTTGCATGGAAATACAGACAGTGTTTCATCTTTTTTTATTAGATAACATTTTTTAAAAGGTCCTAAAAATGGACCGGAGGCAGTACAGACATATTTGTAAAAGACAAGAATGCATTGTCCTGCTTATTCAAAGAAGTTGAGAAAGGTCTGAAGGATAACAATATAAGATTCTAAACATTTAACCAACAATCACAGATGATCTCAAAATGTGGGTGGTAATGTATACGTGGTCAGATGGTCCTGGTTAAACTGCGATCCTGGACAACTAGGGAAAAATGCAAACTAATGGTTTTCTGAGCCCATAGATTTGGCTCAGCTGAGTTCAAGAAGAGGGATCTCTAAACTTGGCAACTTTAAGACTTGTGGACTTCAACTCCCAGAATTCCTCAGCCAGCTTTGCTTAAAGTGGCTAAGATTGGAGACCCCGGTTCAAGAAAACAAACAGGAGTGTCAAAGCTTACTAAGCGCATTATAGAATTTATCATGAATCCAAGGAAAAATCAATGGGAAAATAGCATAAGAATTTAGCTTCACCCCTTCAAATGTGCGCTTAATTCTTATAAGGATGTCTGTGGAGATTCTCAATCATCCAGGTCATGGATGTCCCAGAGTTGCTTTTCAAAAGGTAATTTTCTTAATCCAGGTGCCTTTTGAAAAACAACTGTTGGGACACTTATTAGGATCTTGGTGGAAAGAATATGCCTCCTTCTCCCAGCATTAGTTCACATCAAGTTTTCCTTACCAGAATAAAGTCTGTCTGATAGGTGGAGAGCATAAATACTGAGATATTCTGACTGGCTAGTGGAGCTATGACTGATTTGGCAATTTTGGTCACACCGATAGGCTGAGAGCCGGAGAAGCCACCTCCTCCCGAGACGACGTTGAGGGCCAACCATGTTGCATCTGCTACGCTCAAGTGTTCTGATGAAGGGAGCTCTGAAACAGAAAGGTGAAAAGGCACAGAAAACAGTTTTATTTATTGCCTTTTAATGAAAAGAAAATAAGCACTACCCTGTTAGATTGGATCTCTTGGCTCACCTATAATCACTATTGCTATTTATGCTGCTGAGAGCCAATTTGGTCTAGTGTTTAAGGCACCAGGCTAGAAGCCAGGAGACTGTGAGTTCCAATCCCGCCTTAGGCATGAAAGCCAACTGGGTGACTTTGGGCCAATCATCAGGAGATTGTGAGTTCTGGTCCCGCTGGGTGACTTTGAGCCAGACATTCAATCTCAACCCAGCCCGGCTCATAGGGTTGTTGTTGTGG